GTCCACCCTTTGCTTCTCCTCCTTCGACCTCGATCCCCCTGGTCGATTAACTTCCTTCCCTCTTGACTCGGCCTGCCTTTTCGCCAGTTGTCTGTTATTGCTGACTGTTGTTTGATAGCAACTTCTCGAAGTAAGCTGATCCCCGGTAATCTCTCCTACGTTTTCGCCCACCGGATATTTGATCGTCATGTGGTACGTGGATACGACCGCCTGGAATGCATTGAAGCTCGTCCGTCCCATGATGATGTTATAAGATGACTCAGCACCTACGACCACAAATCTCACCGTGCGCACCTTTCTCAGCTCTCCTGATCCCAATGCCACAGGCAGGCTGACTTCTCCCATCGGCATAACCTCTCCTCCATTAAAACCGTACAGCGCCGTGGTTACCGGTTTCAACTCCATATTCAGCTCCCTATTGATCTGCACGAAACAATCGTAGAACATCACATCTACCGAACTCCCGGTATCAATGAACACCCTCTTCACATCGAATCCCGCGACCTCTGATGTTATCACCAAAGCATCATTATGTGGCAGGACCACTCCTTCGGCATCCTCCGCCTTAAAACTTATCACTGGCATCCGGGCCGTGATACTCACCTCTTCCCTTTTCCTCTTCATTGCTCGAACGTGACCTTTCCTCGCATTGTTTGAGTCCCCGTCCATCGGTCCCCCCGAGATCATATATATCGTGCCTCTTTTCACCTGGCCTCCATCCCCTTCTCTCCCCCTCTCTCTACTTCCTCGCCTCCTCTTCCCCTCATCTCTCTTTCGACCATATCGACCACCCCGTGCATCCTCATCATCATCTTCCTCACTCCTCTCTACCGAGTCCTCCCGACACCTTCTCTTCTCCTTCCCCCTTCCCTTGTCCTGATAAACAAACTCCTTGAGATGCCCTGCTCGAATGAGACGCTCGATTTCGTCCTTGAGGTGCCGACAATCCTCAGTAGTGTGGCCGTAGTCTTTGTGGAAGCGGCAATATCTCCTCGACTTCGGTTGGGTGGGCCCCTCGAATCTTGACCTAGGCCACGTCACGTCCTTCTCGTCCATCCCTTTTTCCATAGCTATTAGGAC